GAAGACTGGCGCTCCCCACCCACAGAGGAGCTTACATTCTTGAAGAACTTCACTGTTTATATAGTACTTTCACAAGGCAAAGATTATGACTATTTAACAGATAAAGAAAGAAAGGCTTGGTAAAGCTCCAAGATAACATACAATCTAAAGAAGAGCCCAGTCTTTCTCCCCTGCAGCACTAGTCTAGCAGGTATAGGCCTGCCTGGGTCATTTCTGGTGTCCCCAGCTCCTAGAAAATGGGGCACTGTAAGCACCCTGGGTCAGATACAAATGCAGACGTTCCTGTTCTAAAACGAATGCATGGCATATGCTGTCCACCAAGAGACACCTCACCTCCTCTCAATGTTTGCACACTGGCCATCTGAGTAAGCATCAGGGGGACCAGGTGTTTAGTGGGCACTGGAGCTGGCCAGAGTCTTTGGCTGACCAAAATCCTAAGCTGTGTCCATGGTGTTGGAATCTTTTTGTTCTTGGAAGCCACTTGAACTTAATTACAAAGTAGGTTTATTGCTTCTTATGTTTACTCACTTCATGGGTGAAAGATGTCATTACCCTCTCCTAATTTTGTAGACGAGTACTCTCAAGGATTAATTTTTAAATGACTACTTCTTCCTTTGGTCTCCACAAATACACACACACAGACAGACACACACACACACACACACCGAGGCACACACAGGCACACACATAATTCTGGACACAAGGAGGCCCTTGGGGATGGCCTTGGAGGTCAGGGGAAGTGAGGACATCCTTGCCTTGCTTCTGTCAGTCTAGTCCATTGGCTTCTCTATATATGCAGGTGGTGCCAGAAAGCTATCACCTCTTCACCCATTGAGCCGGGTCCTTGACCAGAGTCTGAGCCAATCATGTACCTGGTGCTGTTCTCAGTCTGCCAGTGCTGCCTAGAGTAGGGCAGGCAGGAATTAGAGGCCCAGGCACAGCATCCGCAAGGAGTTAGTTGGCTCACAAGTCCTGCCATCCCTTGGATATCAGGAGAGTTGTACCTGACCCAGGCTTTCCCAGAGGCCTCTGGGATTGAGGCTGACTTGCCCTTTGGAAGAAATTTTACATCCTTCCTTCCCATTCCCCACTTTAGACCCCAGAAGGGTGCATTGTGTGGTAAATCATTTGAAAGCCCTGATCAAGAGAATATGGTCTGGGTGTAAGTTTCTATGCCAGTTCTCCTTTTCATTTGATGAGGGATGTTAAGCAGGGAGCTTTCTGGATGAGAGACATGGTGCACATACAGTGGGGTGATAGACACCCCCCAAACTAAGCACTTGATAAATGTGATGGGTTACGGTCGGTAATGACTCACTAGTACTGACTTTGATAAATGTTTCACTGGTTTTAGGCTGCAAGACTCCTAAGCTGCTGCTGCTTTTCCTCCTCTTTCTCCATCTTCTTATTCTTATTTTTCTTTTTCCTCTGCCATGCTGGGGATCAAACCCAGGACCTTGTTCATGCTAAACAAACACAGTACCACTAGGCCACATCTCCAGCCACTAAGCTTTCACTGATTCACTCTGTGACCACCTGGGAAAGTTCTTTGGGCAGTGGGTAAGGAACGGTGGATGAGGTCTCAGGAATCGTCTTGAATTTAGCTATGGACTTCAGCACTACATTGCCATCAGACAAACATAAGCCTGTTGGCGCAGGCTCAGGCCATCTGAAACTCAGATACCATCTGGGATGGCACAGTAGTGTAGGCTCGAGATGAAAGGAGCTTGAACTCTCCCAAAGCCCTGCCTGGGTCAGAGTTCTGGGGACAGTTAGAAGAAGACAACCATGTAGACATTTTACTTTCTGGAACTGCTTTTGAAAGAGCTATCTTAGCTCCATGACCTCAGTCCAGACATAAACTCGGCCTTTACTATTTTCTGCCTGCTTATACAATGACTCATGCACTGCATCTTACTGAAGCTTTGGAGGTGGTAAGGAACAGAATGAAAGAGGGATGGGAATTTACTTTGCAGCAAACCAGCAGCTCCAAATTTCCCAGCAACGTTGCTACGATCCTCACTAATGGCCACTGCAGGTGTCTTAGGGGCTCTTTGCATCAAACCCTCTCATTGGCCCCTCCCCTCTGCTTCTCCCCAGGAAGGAAGACACCCCGGCCTTTTCCTGTCTCCTGTGAACAAGGCAGCCCTTGCCTGGGCCAGTGAGGCTCTTGCTGACACACAGATCTGGGGTCTCACTCACCATCGCTCCTAAGCAGCTTATCCATATCCAGTCATTTACACACTCATACACAGGCACTCACCTGCACACTCATGCACTCACATGCACACTCATGCACATGCACATGCGCACACACATACGCACACACACACAATCTTGCTGCCCAGCTCCAGTCATTCAGTGGCTTGAGGGTGGAGCGCTGACCTGACCGCTCCTCATCTCTCATTGTCCCTTCACTAGAGGAGCCACGGCCTTGTTACCTTTTCTCCATCTTTATCTCACAGACCGAGCTCCTGCTCTGTGTAGGGGAGAAGAACACCAAGGAGACAGGGACAGAGGGCACAGGAGCATTCATCCCAGCGGGTCCACATGGAGGCATTTGTGAGGCAAGCTCAGAGGATTCACAGAGGAAGAGACAGAAAGAATGGCAGAGGGAGCGACATGGACGCAAACAGAGGCATGGGCACCCCTGATGCGTTCAGCTGACCGTGTGATTTTGACCTGCAGAGAAAGGACATAGGACAGGGGCAGGGAGTGAAACTGGAGCTGGGTTTGCAAGGCTGGCAGACCTGCTAGAAGTTCAGGCAATGGCAACTGTTTCCCAGTTGTTTACCAAGCCCAGAATTGGAGCTCATGGCAGCAAAGGGAGAGCGCTGCTGGACTGGTCATTGTGGCCAGGACACAGGATGCCAGGACCCTCCTCAGTATGCAGACCTGTGGCCTCAGGAGCAAGTAGAGCCCCGGAGGCAGAGGCTTCTACCCAGAGGGGTGCCGTGCTCAGGCTGTGCTGGAGGGCGGGCGGTCTGTCCAACCACAGCGCAGAGGCCTGGAGGATGGAAGTGGAGGCTGCAAGTGCAGAGGCGGATGCCAAGGGCCAGAGAGAGGGGACAGGGAAATGGGGTGAGGGCGCTTGTCCAGAGCTGCTCAGAGGCAGGAAGTGGGGACGTAGGTCCACGGGGTGCCATCGCCTCCATGCTTCATGCCCAACAAGAGCATCCAAGGTCAGTGGAAGCATTTCTATGTGGTCTGCCCAAGGCCAGGGCCAGACAGGGGGCTCGACATCTGGATTCCCCATGTGTCACCCAAGTCCCTGTTCCTGCCTCCCAGGCAGGGATGGGGCAGGTGAGCAGACCCTGCTGTCTCTCTTTCCCTTACCTTGTCCCTGCCTAATAAAATGCATCTCAACTTCCACACCTGGCTTGGGGTCTGCACTGCCCTGTAATGTGTACGGACTTTGCAGTTCAGAACAGAAGCTGCATGGAGCTGTGGAGTTACTACATCACCAATGCGTTCCCTGAATCGGGACAGCACTAGGGGTTAGGAGCTGGGGATATAGTTCAGCAACGCAAATGCCTGTCTGGCAAGCACAAGGTCCTGAGTCCGATTCCTGGTACAAAAAAAAAAGTAGACTGGAGGGCTGATTTCAATTCTGTAAAAATTGAGTACGTATGATGACAATAAGGATAGGAAAAATTCCTAAGCATACACAAATTAGGTAAAATTTTCAGCTTGAAGTTATTTCTCTACGTGTGTTACACATAGCTATAAATATGTTCACACATGTATACACATGTGTATATATACACATGCAAACATTTGAATATGCATGCGCACTCATATGTAGTATAAATATATAATTATGCCCACAATACATATCTGCCCATTATATGTACATATATGAAGTATGAAAGAAAAATAATGTTAATGCTTAATTTTTAAAAAATTATTACAGTAAAAGACACATTACCAGGAATCTTCCTTAAAATACTCCCTCTTGCTTCAAGCACACTTATTCTTACCATGCTCTGAAGCAGTCCTAGAAATTCTTTCATGAATGCCTTCAGTTGCACTGTCATGGTTGCCTCCATGTCCTAAATTGATTCAAATCATTCACCTTTCATGGTGATTTCAATTTTGGAGAAGAGCCCGGAACCAAGTCCAAAGACAAAGGTGGATGAGGACGCACTGTAATATTTTTAAGATCTGCCTGACCATTGGACAGCACAGTGCAGAAACATTCACTGGAGTGTTTGCACACCTCATGCAGACACCAAAGAAGACTGTTAGAATTGCTTCCGAGTGTGGCAAGAATGAGGGGTTAAGTGTGTTTAAAGTGTGGGGAGTATTTTGAGGGAGATTAATGCCTGTGTGTCTTTTAGTTAATGAATTTTAAAAATTTGAACACTATATGCTCTGATCAAACTTTCAATGTATATAACGTGCATACATATACGTTTCATGCATGCATACTTAGTTCATAAGGGACAGAACGTCCACTTAAATGCTGGAGGGCCCTGGGGCTCTGGACTTGAGAGCTGTTCATTAATGTTCACTGAAGAACTCACCTCTGTATCAATCATGTTTTTATTGCTGACCATTGCTCTTGGGAGTTAATGTTTGAACCTGGCCATGAAGAAATCCACAGCCACTGACCTATGGTCCATACTGGAGAGCAAGAAGCCCCTATAAAACTGTCACCAGTGGGCACCCTGGTCCACAGAGCTGGGCCAGCTGTGGAGAGGAACCTTCGTTGCCACCATGAACTTCTCTGGAAAATACCAACTGCAGAGCCAGGAAAACTTCGAGCCCTTCATGAAGGCAGTTGGTGAGTGCTCGATAGACCGCCAAAGCCACAGTTATAGCAGTGAAGATCTGGCCCTACACGCAGTGGAATTCAGTGTCAGATGTTGGGATGGGATGGGAGTTTCTTGCCACTTGTGCCATTACTCACTGGACAAGGCCACCAGGAGGCAAGTGGAAAGAACTCTCAACTAGGTGGGGTTTGGATCGAAGCCCACGTCCAGTGGTGCTTCTTTGTGAGACCCTTCACTCATTCATGCATGCATGCATCCGTTCATTCTCCTAACAAATACTGATTCAAAGACAACCACACAGCAAGCACTCTGCTGGATGCATAGCAGGGAGATAAATAATGAAGAGTCACATTTCCATGGTCAGTGTTTAGGGAGAGAAGACAAGAAATAAATGCAACACGTATCCCATAATATGTAGGAGAGTGACTACCAGGCACGGGGCTAAGCACTTGCTTCATTTAATTGTCACCAAAACTCTGAGTTGAGAACTATTATTTTTCCATTTTACAATTGAGGACTGAAAGGTGAGTTACCCTGATCAGGGTTACGTGATGAGAAGTTCATGGGTTGGCAGGGGAAGCAGGCGCCGCCTCTCACAGTGCAGGGAGGGAAAGGGTGGTGAGGGGGAGGCTGGGAAAGGAGCAGGTGCCCCCTAGAGACCAGGGCAGGGGAGTGTGTTCCAGGCAGAGGGAGCCCTGTGAGCAGAGGCTGCAGTGTGGCCAGGGAGCTGCGGAGAGGGAGAAGAGTGAGGGAAAAGAGAAGGCAGGGAAGGAGGACCTGCAGGGTGCCTGAGAGCTCAGGGCTTTTGTAGGCAAGTCACCCTGCTTCTGTCTTTCAAGTCTCCTGCCTGTGCAACAGGACCCTCCCACTCTTGCTGTCGGAATATCCCATGAGCATCCATTCCTACAAAAGCCCAGGTTAAGCCCTGGCATAACTACACTTTCTACATGGTGTCCTGGCTTAATTATTAGTAGTTCCTTCTGTCACTTCAGGAGCGAGTGGGCCTGGAAGAGAAACTCTCTGATCCCTCTGGGTGCGGAGGGTGGCATGCTTTGACGCAATGCAGAGCTGCTAGAGGAGGAGAGAAAGAGAAGAGGCAGAAGCAGAAGACCCACAGCAAAAAGAAAGTTTCAAGATTGCAGCAGCCAGGCCAGGCCATCCTCCTTCCCTATGGAGGCTACAGCCCGTGCTGCTCCCTGGTCCCAGTGTCTGTGGCCTCCACCTGTCCATGTCACAGCTTCCTTGTCTATCTCGGTCTTGTGACCCCCACCCTTGCTGTCTCTAAGCCTCGGATGGTTTCCACCAGGGGTGCCTGAAGACTTCATCCAGAAGGGGAAGGACCTCAAGGGGACGACAGAAATCGTGCAGAATGGGAAGCACTTCAAGATCACCGTGAGCAGTGGCACAAAAGTGACCAAGAATGAATTCACCTTGGGGCAGGAATGTGAGATAGAGACCATGAGTGGGGAGAAGGTCAAGGTAGGAAGCGCTTCTAATATGCTCTGCTTCTGGAAAATTCCCTGGAGCCTTGCCCAAGGGCCTCCCGACTCACAGGATCCTGGGCCTCACATTTCCCATGCTAAATACCCCATATCTAAGCTACTTCTTGAGTGGGAGAAGCAAAGAACTTACAAGGAAGATATTTTTATTTTCTCAGATCTTGCAAGAGGGTGCTGTGGCCCCCACACCTGAGTTCTACTATATAGAACAAGGGAGAAAACCAGGCAAAGAGCAGGACTGCGAGTCTCAAATTCCTGGAGGCCTGAGCTCTTGCTCTCAAAGTGTCCTGAACGGGGTCTAGCAGTGGGGTTGGGAGGGACAGTGAGAAGCCTTAACTCAGCCCAAATCACTGTGGCTTGGGCTGAGCACAGAGCAGCTGGGAGCAGGAAGAGACATTTTGGGAGAGGTGCTGGCAACATCAGAATCTCAAGGCCCAGGCAGCCCGCAGAACAAACCTCGGGGTGCTCACTCAGCCGATGGCCTTGGCTACCTCATCGGGGCAAAGGAGAGGTCAGCCAGCCATGCTGAAGGCAGTGGGCGGGGCAGCTCCATCCCCCAGGCCTGGGGCTCCAGGGCACAGTGACACCTAGGGCCTGACCTCTGCTCCTCCCATGACACACTGCACAGTCCACTGTAGCCAGCAGCACCAAGCAGCCGCCTTCTCTGCTCCCCATGTGACATTGTACACTGGGTTCAGCAAACTCTCTCTTCACCTGTTCTCTATACTCTTTATTTCTGCCCTGCAGATATAACGCTAGAGACTGGGACAAATTTCAGGCCTCCTTGCTATGCCCAGGGGAAGGGGCAGCCATCCTGGATTCTATCACAGACCTTCTCCAAGTGTCCATGGGGGTAGTTTTCACCCTGGCAGTGTCCTCTGGTCCTGGTGTGTTTCTGTGTTTGCTCCTCCTGGATGGCTCAGGCTTGGAGAAGAGACCACAACAGGAATGATGGGTGTTCCGGGAGGACCCTTCAGACCAAAGCAACATGTGTGCAGGGTTCTGAATTCTGACAATGCTGCCGCCCGCCATTGGCTTGGAGAATTGAGGTTTCACTGTTTTTGTTTCAGCATTTGTCCTGGGCACCACTCAGTCATCTCGTGCTCTTTTCCAGATCACACAGCGCAAACTGATGTCTGACAGAAGGTGTCCTGACGTTTTCTTTCTGTCTTCTGTGCTCCTCTCCTCTGTTAGCATCGAGTGCTGGCAGTACAGGGACCAGAGTGTTTTGGTTGTCATAAGCAACACCTGCATAGGGGAACAAACTCACTACGAGGGTCTTGCTCTCTACCGACCGTTCTTCACAGGCCTCTGTCTGTCCCTCACAGGCAGTGATTGACATGGAAGGCAACAACAAGCTGGTGACAACATTGAAAAACATCAAGTCTGTGACTGAAATCAGTGGGGACACACTGACCAATGTAAGTTGGCACTCTGAGCTTGTGACTCTCGGTGCTGAGGGAGGAGGAGGAGGTGAAGGGTGAGGAGCAGCTGCACTCCTCACCCCATGCCTCACTTTTCCCCCTGAGCCCCAAATTCTCCACCTTTCTGTATCTTCTACCGCTTCACTGAGGGTCCTTATGGAGCAGGTAGTTTACACAGCATCTCTAAGTTTCCCAACAGCAGCGTCCTAAAGGGGAAACTGAGGCAACAAAGAGTCATGGAATGGCAGAGCCAGCTTCCTCTAATTGGGCTGGTCTCTCAGGGCTGCCATCCACAGCTGTTCCCAGGGGAGAGACTTTGACTCATGCCCTGAGTTGATCATAATCTTGACCTTTCATGATCATTTTTACTTTGGCCAAGAAATAGAAGTCATACGGTACCAAATCCAATGAGTAGCATGTGTAAGGACACACCATAGTGCTTTTAGAAGACTACTTTCATTGGATGACAATAGGCACTGACATTTATCACATTTTTGATCATAACTTTTAAAGACATGCACAAAATAGGACTTTGAAAACTGCTTTAGAAAGGGACAAAATGGTGGGATAAGCATGTCTAAGGGAGGGAGGGTGTTTTGAGGTGGATTAATGATGATGTGGCTTTTACTGCAATAATTGTTTGTTGGAAGCAAACATTCACCGTACTTTTTGATCACACTTTGTACACCACCCTGCAGCAGTCCTGTTCTAACCAAACCAATACAGCCTATCCAGTTGATTTTCCACTGGATAGAGAGCAGGATCTTGAGGAAGGGATACCCTTTTCTAACTCACCAAAGCCACCATGTAGCTGGTGTCTACCCACCTGGTGTCCCCCCTCCCTCAGGCTGTCCTTCCCTGCCAGCCCTCCTGCTCCCTGCCTTCCCTCCCCACCACCCACCCCGTCTCCTCCCCCTTTTCCCTCATGCCATGGAGTAACAGAGGGTTCGGTAGGAAGGGTGCAGGGACATGCAGAGTGACCAGCACTGCTCATGTTTTCTGTCTCTGCTGGGACAAAGCTCGGAGTAGAAGGCAGAATCAATTGCATCTGTGGAAATCCATTCAATCTGCAGATGCTCCCCCTCCCCAGGCCTCACTGGGTCACAGAAGAGCCATTCTCATGGATGCAGCACCCACACACAGGGAGCATCAGGCTCTTTCATGGCTTCTAAGCCATCACACAATTAGTAGCCACAGCCTTTCCTTCTGCCTCAGCACCAACCAACAAGCCACAGGGGCTTCCAGCTGCCCTCCAAGCCCCAAGGGTCTAATAAATGCCTTTGCCCATATGGCGTTGCCCGTCCGTGGCAAAGACATGACTGCTATGAGTGTCACACTCCAAGTTGGCAGTGGTCTCCAGCGCTTGGATGTTGGCCAGCTCTTATGCCTGCTTTTGAAGTGAATGTGCAGAATTTCTCCTGCAGTCATGTTCTCCTTGCTCTGCTTTGCTCCCAAAGTTTGCTTTAGGGAGTCACAGAAGGTAGAAGCCAACCCAGGAGGCTGTGGTCCCCAGGTTCACGTGGGAACATCCCTCAACCAGGGACAGTGAATCAACCGTGAATGCACAGTCGCTGCACCCACACCAGCACCTTCACAGTAGAACGGGGGCAGGAGATGAGGCACGCAGGATGAGATCTGGCCAAGTTATCATTTGATAACTCCATCTTGCCTAATCCTCCCTTCTTCCGGGAGGGAGGCAGGTCAAGAGTTTGTTAGTCAGGTCAACCTTTTCAAGGTCATCAACGTGATGATATTAGTAGTAAATCTAGGGCTCCAATCCAGTCAGTGGCAGCCACCTCATTGCTCCTGAAGCTAAGGACTCCTTTGTCACGCTGATGTCAGGCTATGTCACTGCAGCTGTCTGATTCAAAAAAACCAAGATGATGGAAGGAGCACCCCTCAGGGACCCCAAAGCTGATCTCTCCACTGTTTTCACCTGCTTCATTCACAGATTTAGGAGGAAAACCGGGCAGTGCCATGATGTCCCAGGCTACTTGCCTGGTATTCCATGTACACATGTCCTCGGTGCTCAACACAGTTTTGACACATAGTAGGTACACTATAAATATTTGATTAATTGGATTGAATAAGTCTGGGTGGTCTTGCTATTACATGCATTGATGTAGACAAGAAGCCAGCCAATTAGAGCACATCTCTCCATGGAAGGAACCACAACAACACAGGAATAAGATTTTTTAAAAAAATTGTCAGCCCTCCCTCTGGTCCTTGAGGGAATCATTGATTTGAGAAATCATTCAGTTGTTTCATGTGTTACTGTATTTGAGGCTATTTGGGGGGTTTAATGATATATTTTTTACTGTTTATCCTCAGATGAACATTTCATGATTTCTTCTCTTTCCTTCAGACCATGACACTGGGTGACATTGTCTTCAAGAGAATCAGCAAGAGAATTTAGACAAGTGTGCATTTCATATTCTTTTACTATGTAAAGTTAATGTGATAAAGTGAACTTTGTTTTAAGAAAACATCTTTTTGTGTGATGACTTTTTGGTCTCTGATCATTTACATTTTTTGTGTGCACTGGTGACCCACGTGTTCTCAACCAGGTTTAATCTGAGTTTTATT